CCTTCAATCAGAATATCAACTACTACGGCAACACGCACTCTTTCAATAGTGTGTGGAACTATACTGCCTCCGATGATCGCTCTGAACTCCTGGCCTGGCTATCGCCTTTGGAGCCCCGATTGCGGCATGCCGACCTTCGGGAGCACCGTGTCGACAATGTTGGAGAATGGCTCACGCAAACTAAGGAATTCAGGAGGTGGTGCGACAGAAGCAGGAAGGTCGAAGGTGATAAGGCCGTCCTGTTTTGTTATGGAGATCCGGGGGCGGGCAAGACATTCATGAGGTAACAAGGGTTCTTCCCGTAGGTGTGAAGAAAGAGAGAAGGTGCTGAGACCCTGCGATGCTAGTTCTCTGGTCGTGGACAGGCTCTGCGATCAGGCTGGAGGGCAGGGCGCGACCGTTACCTGCTTTTACTTTGACTTTGCGGCGCGAAATGAGCAGTCTACGACGAGGATTCTGGGTTCCTTGCTGAAACAGATTGTTAACGGACTGGAAAGCATTCCGGAAGAGATATTAAGGGCTTTCCGAGAGCAGAAAAAGTTCATCGGTGGACGGGGACCCCAACTCTCTGATGTCTTGAAGCTTCTTCAGACCATCGCATCCTCACAACGCACCTTTATGTGCATTGACGGCCTAGACGAATGTGCGGGAGTATATCGAGCCAAGCTCCTTGACTCACTTCAACAAATCCTCCAAAAGTCCCCGGGCATTCGGGTATTCGCCACTGGGAGACCGCATATCCGGTCTGAGGTCGAAAAGCGTCTTGCTGACAAAGTGATAAGCCTAGCTGTACGCCCCACCGAGGATGATATCATCGAATACCTTCGTGCTAAACTGGCCGGGGACGGAACTCCGGATGCCATGGACGAAAGATTGATGGAGGACATTCTGCAGAAGGTTTCTAAGAGTGCATCAGAAATGTACGTAGGGGCAATCCTACTACGAATTCCACCCCACATTATCCGCTAACAGATACATCTAGGTTCGTACTAGTTTCCTTAAATATCGAGGCGATCTTGCAGGAATCGACGATCTATGGGAGACGAGAAAAGCTTCGCACGATGATAGATGGTTTGGGGTTGGAAGATGCCTATGGCGCGACAATAGAACGGATAAAGGCGCAGAGTGGGGGTAAATCGAGACTCGGGATGGGAGCTTTGATGTGGATCAGTCATGCGGAACGGCCGTTGCGGGCGGACGATCTTTGCTGGGCTCTGGGAGTTGTGCTTGGCTCTCGGGATTTCGAAACAACAACACCAACATCCCTTCGATATCGACATTGGAGAACTGCTGCCAAGGGCTTATTACCGTGGATAAAGGGGCATCAACCGTGCGACTAATCTACCTTACTCTCCAGGAGTACCTCCACGCTCATCCCGATATTTTCAGTAGGCCCCACTTGGTAATGGCAGAAACTTGCCTGACCTATCTGAATTCCCAGCTAGTCAAGGCTCTTTCAGCAAATCCCTCCCCTATAGCTAGGGCCATACCATTTCTAGAATATTGTTCTTTACACTGGGGAGTCCATGCGAAAAATGAACTCTCAGACTACTCAAGATCGCTCGCGATGAAGCTATTTCAGGAGTTTGATAGCCACATATCCATAGAATTGCTTACAGCGGAAATACTACATTTTAATTCTGACCCTTCTTATACTCTGTCTCGGTTCGGTCGGCTACACTGCGCATCGTTCTTCGGAATTGCTGGGCTTGTATCTGCGTTGATAGAGATGGGATGTGGTGGGCGATTTGGGGGGGTGTACACCACTTGCATGGGTGGCCTATTATGGACACGAGGAAACGGTCAAAATACTGCTCGGGCAGCAAGAGGTAGACCCCGACAAGCAAAATGTTCGCGGCCAAACACCGCTCTCGTCTACGGCTTGGAATGGACATAGCGGAGTGGTGAAAATGCTACTAGCGCGGAATGAGGTCAACCCCGAGAACCAAAATATCTTGGGCGAAACACCGCTCCTGCTCGCGGCCAAATACGGCTGTGAGGGAGTGATGGAATTACTGCTCGGGCGGGAAGATGTTAACCCAAACAATCCGGATAGCTACGGCCAAACACCGCTCCTACTCGTCGCTGAACACGGACATGAGGGAGCGGTGAGAGTACTACTCGGACGGAGAGACGTCAACCCCGACAAGCGAGATAGTCACGGCCAAACACCGCTCTCGCGTGCCGCGTGGAATGGGCATGAGGCAGTGGTGAAAATGCTACTCGGGCACGAAGCGGTCAACCCCGACAGCGCAAGTAATCACAGCCGAACGCCGCTCTTGTCCGCCTCTGAGAACGGGCATTATGGGGTGGTGAAAATTCTACTCGGGCGGGAAGAGGTCAAGCCAGACAGGCAAGATAATGACGGTGAAACACCGCTCTCGATTGCTGCTAGGAACGGCCACAAAAGAGTGGTGGCGCTGCTAAAGTCCCACAAAACGTCTACACCCGCACGAGTTGAATACTTAGGAGATCCGCCCTATGCAAATTGGCACCCTTCCTCCCCTTCCACAGTTTATTGCTAAGGGGGGCTACCCACGAACGCCATGGTTTTCGGACGAAGAGAATCCCACAAGACGGAAATGAAAACCTATACCATCATGTCCTCCCGAACCTCGTTGGTGATTTGCCTTTACAGTCGAATCAGGATTGCTGAGTTTCCACTAAAAAACGACAGTGGATCCCGCTCATTGGGAAATATCACAGTTCTATTGCTGAGGAGGTCCAGTTTATCAGTTACAATTTTTCACCCTAGCTGAAATTCCCTGCTTGGCTATTTCTCCTTTCTTGTAGAGCCTTTCTCCTTTCCTCCTGAACGATATACAGCTGCATATAGTGTTTTTCAGAGTGAAAATTGGTCTTGCTTGATCAAATGCCCAAGTTTTCCCATTTTGCGAAAGTTTATATTTCCTGACAGGTAGGGGCTGTGTAATTTGTTGTGGGTAGAGAACAGCAGTAGGTACTGTACTAGTACTGTTCACAAATATTTTAGCAATTTCTATGCAGACATAGTAATCGAAAGCCGGAGGGCGTTTACCTACTGTTTCCCCGCCTCCACTGATATAATAGCAACAAGGAGGACGTCAATTTATCACCTCACTGTTCCTAACTTCCCATCCAACCCTTCTATTAATTACTTGATACCTCTGACATCCCAGAGCATTGCCAATGGCAAAATAACCCTTCGGGAAAGCAGGGGTTCCCTACACGAGAAACAAAGAGAAACTTATCTTCGAGGCGGAAGATACCCCGCTACCCTACCTTCCCACTCGCAATGAACCCGTCCATCGTATATTTCATTAAAATTGCAACAGCGGATCGCCTTGATCCATTTCGAGCGATCAATAATTAATTACCGGCCATGCAAAGACCCTTATTTTCCAATACCTATTGAGTATGTTAATCTTATCCCCGTCCTTCAACTTGCTACTCATACTCTTTGAAAATACTAGACGGTACAAGTGAAGAATTTAGGTATGATAGCAGTAGAGATACATGTAGTATCATAAGACTAAGTGGATGGTCCTTGTAATGGAGGTTCACAAAGTTTAGGGCAGCCGAGGACATTATGAGCGGGAGAATAGTAAGATTTCCAGATGTCTTTATATTTACCACGATAATTACCTCAGGCTCTATCTTTTTTTCTTTTTTTCTCTAACCCTTTAAACCGTTTTGCCTGTTCTCACTATGTTTCTTTTTCATTGTGAACGGACGTTCCCACAACCAATCAATGCCCCTTTTACCCCCCCCGGACGCTTGGGAACACTGTCTGGGAGATGCAGGTGGTAAGGGATACACCCTTATTTATTGAGACAACGCGGCCCTATTTCAGACCAACACAAATGGTTAGGCAGATTGTCATAGCATTCGTTAAACCGAGAAATATCAGGAAATTACGAATGGCATTACGAGTCTTCTACCCATTCTTCATGTGTCTACGTCAGCCTCAGGCTAAACCAAGGGTGTCCCAGTGGGAATTTCCACATTACATTGTTTTTAGATTTTCTAGTAACTGACTAATCTTAGGGCTTGCAATAAAAGTCAGAGTATTGAAGCCCTGTGAAGTTTGGTGCTGTGTTTTATCAGCCCTGAGTCCAAATGCCTGCCGAAGAACATCCTTGTTAAATTTCCTAATTCGTTTCATATATATATTCTCCTTGATAATATCATATATTTCTCTACTTGGTATTATTATTTCTAGACCATGAACATTACTACAGCTGGAGTATGTATTACATATATTTCATTGATATTTCATGATATGATTAGGGGATTATGGTGTGCTTTCTTATATAGTGTTTGAGTTTGTTTCTTACATTTATCTGCTCACACCACTTCAGATATACACATGTTTTATGGGATTTCCTTGGCAGTTCTTCCGGGTCAAACATGTTCGCACTTATGTTTTTCCTACTTATATTACAGTCAAACATGTCAACATTTATGTTTTCCCTTATATTTCCTCTTAATTATGCGGAGGATGCACACCTGTATAAATAAGGGGTCACCACCCATCTCACTTAAGAGAATTAAGGACAAGAACTACTACCAATCTACCTTCATACAAAATTCCTCCTCGCTTAGCACACCCACAGTATACTCTTTCTACTACTGTGTTGTATTTTCGTACAAAGTTATTAAGATAGTGCCGTACCCACACATTTGAACAATCCTTACAAGATATGAATGTACGTGCTCAATCCATGGTAATTCCACGTACCCCCCGACAAAACATAGAGTATGGGCCACTTTTGGATGCCATATAATGTGCTCTCCTACAACCAACCAATGCCATACAAGTTCCTCTAATCCTGTACATGAAAGAAGATATTGTTCAATGAAAAAGCCAAAACAATCCATTGTCAAATCCGGAGCCAGGGGCTCATTCGGCAGAGTACATTTCAATCTACGGTCACCTTAATAGATACCCGGGGGAATATAAGGGGTCCTAACACATGTTCTGAGAAGAAATAACTCTCGGTCATCTTCCGCTACTGGTGAAGTGAGGAATTCAACTTATTAATTCTAAGCCTGGAAGCTCCCTCATCTCTACGGAATCCGATATTAAGCAATTTCAGGAAGGCGTTACATGCAGTCGGCAACCTCTACGCAGCAGCGGCTTTGGCGTTAATGGTAGGTTAACCCTCAAAAATGATAGCATAATCAGCCAGATATTCCGGTATGATAATGTGGTGCCCAACAATGATTGCAACCTTCGTAGCATGGGTGATAAATGGTGTGATAAGACTGCCTACAATTATATGTTGTTCAGAATCAAGATAGGCAACCTGCACGTCAACGAGGTAGATGTTAATTAGCATGTTGAGGGCAAGAAAAATGGGGGAGAAACCTGTAGTTCTAACTAGGACCTGGCCTAGAGGAAGGATAAGCCTTAAATGGAGCCTTTGAGAGCATGGAGAAACAGCATGAATATGAGGTCATCGGGAATTTCGAGTGATCCTCTATGTCCGGGTTTCACAAGGCCTTCAATTGGAGCTCTCATGAAGTGACATCAAGGCCAAACCTGTGGCGAGATTGGCCCGATAAACTATGCTGCATATGATAAGCTCTAGCCTTTTCTACTTGTGCTTTTGTGCTTTAGCCGATAGCATGTAGAGGAACTAGCATTAAAGTCGATTCCTTTTGTTTCACGAACAAACGACTCGACATGGAAACTATGAGAACAGGGCATAGACCCTGTCTGAAAGGATACTTTGCTTCCGCTCAGGGCATTTTTGGAATTTCCGGCCCGGCCGTACAATCCTCTATATGTTTGTATTTCTTATTTATTTATTTTCTTTTTCTTTTAGCTGACTCCTCTAATCTATTTCGCCGGGATTTGAGCTTTTCCTGATGTAGCGGTGTTTTTGCGCCGAGCCTCGAGATCTAGAGACCAGCTCGCCGGCCGAGGTTATCGTACCGCCGCGTTTCCCTATGAGAATCTGGCCACCGGGGTCTAAGTTTCTCCCCCAGGGTTTCTACACCGGGAGTACACCAACTTATCCTCAGAAAACTCGACAGGGAACCGGGCCATCATTTCCTTAGCTACAATGCTAATTCAGTTCTGGTGCGCCGTCCACTAGTTTTTAATACCTTCGAAATATAGGTGCTAGAGCACTATCTTATTTTCATTAATACAAATCACCCAGGGTCCAGATATCGCGCCACTACCAGTGATCCCAAGCGGCCAGTACGTCCGGCTTTGAGTACGGCCGGACTGGCCCAGGCTTTTGAGGGCCGGCCGGGCCGGACTGTGGGAAAGCGGCTTTTCCAAACCAAAACCGGGCCCGGCCTGGGTCACCCGCAGGCCGATGTTTCAAGGGCTCAAGTGTGTTTCACTGGCAAGAAATATTTCATTATTCAACAGGACTAACTATTTCATGCGGACAATACATATTCACCCGGGGTGGCCAGAGAGTTGTGTGAAGAATAGTATAGTGTTTTGAGGTAGGACCGCATATTTGGGTACAGCGGGGGTTCATCGCCGGATGTCATGCATTTACCTTAAGCGAGATCTATAGGGTCAGGTGCATGTTGCTCCTGATATCCTGTTCCGAGCGATTAAAAGTGGAAAGCCTGCAGGCCGTCCACAGATATCTTCAGATTACCTGGGCATCTGGCGGCTCTGGCCTAGGTTGCGCCAAGACTCAACCCGGCGGTTGCCTGGGTGCCGCCGGGCTTTGGCGGCCGCAGAGAATTTCGACCGGACTGGCCGGACTGCCGACCTGTAGTCCGGACTGTGGTCCGGACTGGCCGCTTGGGATCACTGGCCACTACTGAACACAACAAGATTGAATGTAGATAAAACCATGCATTGCCAGGACCAGCACACTTTCTTGTTTATACAATTGGATAATTGGACGTTGGTGGAAAATATCTTCATAATATAAGATCCACGCCATTGCAATACTTGAAGTCGGGCCCCTGAATAAGGCCCGATTGGCCTAGGCTTTTACTGGCCGCCCCCGGGCATGAGGATTGAGGCTGTGAATTTCAATTCACTTTATCTCCATTCTAATTAAACTTCTCGACAGACATGGCCCAATTGTTTCCCGTTTATTATGAGTGATAAAAGGCTAGAAGCCCGCGGATAGTAGGCGGAAGTCTCCTGATTGCTTATCCCTCTGCGGATCTCACACGGATATCCGGCTGCAATGGCCATGGCGGTTCAAGGTATGTACCTCGCGGCTATCTAATTCCCCAAGATTCAATCCTCAAAGGGCTAGCAACGCTGCCAAGATACCGAGAAGGCCATGGGCTAAACTGGCCACTTGAGATCACTACTCGAGTACTCGTACGTCTCAGCCAAGATTTGCCTTCCCCATTTGCAGTAGTATGTGGGAAGGTAATTTATTTCTACCAAAGAAGCATAGTGTATAGTTACTATACTCGCACATGGTCAATAAGAACAGAAAAAATAATTGGCAGGGTCAAGCTAGTGCTGGGAACATGAGTGACCTCAGTTGGAAAAAAATCATGGCAGACATCAGGAAACAGCATTATTGGCATCTAGATATGTGACTATATTAGTGCTGAATTTACTTGACCATGATGATGACAATCAAAGTAAGTGGCTTAAGGAATAATAAAACTATGATCTCAATAGACTATAATAGAACCTGATCTGGATAGTTAAATGCTTTATTCCTCTCAATCTCCTACTTCAAGTTCTACTTCTACTTCTACTTCTACTTCTACTTCTACTTCTACTTCTACTTCTACTTCTACTTCTACTTCTACTTCTACTTCTACTTCTACTTCTACTTCTACTTCTACTTCTACTTCTACTTCTACTTCTACTTCTGCTTCTACTCTTATTCTCCAAATTCTACTTCTATCTTTAATCTTACTCTTACTTCAAATCTCAACCTTGTCTTAGTTCTATCAATCACAAATACAAATACAATTCATATTCCTATTCCTGCTCTCATTTCCAAGTTTATTCCCAGTCCAAGTCTAATTCCTTTTTCAATTCTCACTAGCAGTTCCCCTTCCAGTCCAATTCTCTGACTTTCTTCCAGTCTGATTTTTCTGGTCAATTTTCAATTCTCTATAGTAGTCCTCCTCTCCAGTCTCCCTCTAAGTCCTTCTCTTGATCTTCCTCTTGGTCCTTCTTCTTGGCTCTCCTCTCAGTCCTTCTCCTTATTTTCCTCATTCTCCTCCTAGTCCTCCTCCTCATCCTATTCCTACTCCTTACTCTAGTCTATTTCTATTTGCATTACCATTCCTATTCCCATATCTATTTGTACTCCTATTCCTATTTACACTGCCATTTCCATTCACATTTCAATTTCCATTCCAATTTTAATTTCAATTTGGTTTTTTATTCCTGTTTTTTATTTTCAATTTCTATTTACATTCCTACTAGTACTTCCTCTACCATTCCAATTCTCAAATCTAATACAGCCTCCACTCCCACTACTATTCCAATAACAATTGCAACCTTATTTTCAAATACACTACCAGTGTGCTAACTTAGTCTCTGAAAACTCCTATGACTAAACTCAGAATATGACATTCAATAAGTATATTGAATATAATAAACAATGAGCTTAGAATCTATTATGGAAGGAGTCAATAAGTAATGTTAGATCTGAACATAGTATTAAACCAACTTGTTTTTAGTTGAAAATAGCAAGATACTACTCACTATTCTCTCAACTCTCTTTTTCTTCTTACACTCTCTCCTCTATTCTTCTTACCTATCTTTCTTTCATCTTTCTCCCTTCTCCTCCTTCCCTGTAGTTTACTAATCTATATCTTAATTGTATATTCAGTTGGTTTCTAGAGGTGTGCTTTATGTTTATATGACGGTTTGCATATTTGTTTAAGTTCTGGGAGTGTAGTTTACTTTCAGGTTTGCTTTAACCTTTAGGAAAGTACTATATCTGGAATCTATAAAGGACTTGGAGTCTGCCAGAAGGACTATACAGTAGTAGCATATGGTAGAAAGTGTACAGAAGGAAAGTAGAGGGAAAGAAAGACATACTATAAAGGCATAGAAGGAAGGCATGGTAAGAAGGCCAATAGAAAGAGAAAAGATATTAGGACAAATCTATAATGTTTGCTTGTTTCTTTTTGTTATTATGAGAATTTTTGCATGTAGAGAGAACGCATACAAGTAAGAGGAAATAGGAGAAAACTTTGTTTGATTTTCTTAGATTTGTTTTTATTGTTTGGAATTAGGTTTTCAACAAGCATGTTGGTATAGGAAAAGCACTTGAGGGATGGAGTACATGGAAGTTTGAATATTTGTAGAAGAAAAGCAGACAAGTCTGATAGAGACTATAGATAACATGACTTAAGTCTTTCCTTTATTAGCTCATATTTACCAGTATGTGGAGGACTTACCTAGTGTGTTACAAAGTGTAGCTTAGTAAGAATAAAGGTTTTACATGACTCAGAGCTCTGAGTCATAGGTATGTTACTTTCATACCTAACTAGCTTAAAAGTCATGGGATTTTACACAACTGATACTTGTCAAGTCATGATTATATTATAATATTATGAGTATGAATTTGTAAGAATTAAGTTAAGTTAAATTGTTTGGGATTTCCTATTAAGTTATTTCATACCTAACTTGCTTAGAAGTTATAGGCTTTTACATGATTAGTTGTTTGTTTAGTGACTCACAATTGTAAGTCACAGTTAGTTATGTTTAATAATGCTCTTATATATACCTAAGCTGGACTGCAACTAGTTATATACTAGATTGGTGCTACTAGTATAAATAAATTTAAATTGAATTTCAAGTTAATATCTATACTTTTATGAATAAAACATCTCTATGCTCTTTAACCTACTTGTTTATTAATACAATCAAGACATATAAATACTGAGATACTTGATACTATTTCCAATCTATTCCCATTACTAGTTCAGAGGTAACAGAGAGGATAAGCTAGGTGTTACAAGGAGTACAAGGGTAAAGGCATATGTACAAGAGAATGGCTCAGGCTGGAAGATATTGTAACCTGTTATGATACAGGTAAGAAGGTTATTTTAACAAGTAAACTAATAGCTAAGTTTCTGATATAAGTCTAACTACTTAAAGATTATATGAGAACTCTCTTATCCTAATACAATCAACATATTTTCAAGACCTTAATTGAGTAAAGCTTCAGCTCAATAATATTAAGTTTTACTATTTACTTGTACAGAATCCTACTGAGTACGAGGGTGTAACAGGTAAGGATTCCCACTTCCCAGCAAAGGAATAGTTCTTAGACCATTGTCTATGTAACATTGATAGTCAAGTTCTAGACTTCTATCTGTCATGACTATTTCCTTATTGTACTTAAATCTTCACTTAAGACTTAATCTGTATCTTTTGGGTTGT